GCGCGGAGAAGCTCAGCCACGTCCAGGGCGTTTACCGCCCCCGAGTCACTCACCCCCGTCTCTCCCGCACCCAGCAGCCCGCCGGGCGCGTAGTAGGAGCTCAGTAAGTGTTTGTTGAACTGGAGGGCAAAGGGCTTCTCCTCCCTGTGCAGCCTCCGGTGCTCCGCCAGCTGCGAGTGCCAGGGGAACACCTGGCCGCACTGGGCGCAGGGGAACGACTTCTCCCCGGAGTGGACTTTCTGATGTTTGATGAGGCAGTGGTTCTGGCTGAAGGCCTTACCGCACTCGCGGCACTTGTAGGGCTTCTCCCCGGTGTGGACGCGCCGGTGCACGATGAGGGACGAGTGGCAGCTGAAGGCCTTCCAGCAGCGGCTGCAGTCGAAGGGCTTCTCCCCGGTGTGGACCCGCTGGTGCACGATGAGGTAGGAGTGAGAGCTAAAGGCCTTGCCGCACTCGTTGCAGCGGAAGGGCTTCTCCCCGCTGTGGATCCGCTGGTGCACCACCAGGTACGAGTGGCAGCTGAAGGCCTTGCCGCAGTCGGCGCACTTGAACGGCTTCTCGCCCGTGTGCACGCGCTGGTGCAGCGCCAGGCGGGAGCGGTGGTTGAAGGCCTTCTCGCACTCGCCGCACTTGAACGGCTTGTCGCCCCTGTGGATCTTCTCGTGCACCGTGAGGGACGAGTGGCAGGTGAAGGCCTTCCCGCACTCCGGGCACTTGTAGGGCTTCTCGCCCGTGTGGATCCTGCGGTGGCGGGTCAGGTGCGTCCGCTGGGTGCAGGGGGTCAGGTGCGTCCGCTGGTTGAAGGCCTTGCCGCAGTCGGCGCACTGGTAGGGCTTCTCGCCCGTGTGCACGCGCAGGTGCATGTTGAGCAGCGAGCTGCAGCTGAAGGCCTTCTCGCAGGCGCTGCACTTGTACGGCCGCTCCCCGGTGTGGGTCCTGTGGTGCACGTTGAGGGACGAGTGGCAGCTGAAGGCCTTCCCGCACTCGCCGCAGAAGAAGGGCTTCTCGCCCGTGTGGATCCGCTGGTGCTCCAGGAGGTTGGTGCTCCACGTGAAGGCCTTGCCGCACTCGCCGCACTTGTACGCCTTCTCCCGGGTGTGCCAGCGCCGGTGCAGCGCGAGGGACGCGCTCTGGGGGAAGGCTTTCCCACACTCAGCGCACACGAACAGCCCGTCCCCGGGGCCCACCCCTGGCCGCCGGTGCGCCTGCGCCTGCGCGGGTTTCCTGAGCGCGCTTGACTTGAAAGGGCTCTGCCCTGCGCGCGGTCCCTGGTGGTCTCTGGCGACACCCTTGGGAGACTGGACAGCCCTGATGGGGATGCTCGGCTGGGCCAAGAGGGTGCACTGGAGTGGGGACTCCTCCTTGAACCGGAGGTGTCCCCCAGAGCCCTCCTCCATGGAGATGTCCCCCTGGGCGGTAGACACGTGGCTCCAGAGCGTGGCCTCGCTTCTCCACTGGGGATCCGCCGGGTCCTCCCAGGCGCACGATCCGCCCAGGTTGGTGCTGGGAAGATTGGACTTCATCCGCGGCCACTCCAGGAGCAGCCCCTGCGGTGGGTCCTCTGTGCAAACACCCTGCTGCCCAGGGCACTGCTCCTTCAGGCCGGGCCTCGGCTCCCATTCTGTAAGACATTGAAAGGGGCGTTCTCGGTGGGCACGCGGTGTGAAGTGCGGCCCTGGGATTTGGATTCAAGAGCCGCCCCAGAAAGGCAGAGAAGCCCAGAACAGAGAGTGGGAGACAGAGCCCAGAGCATGGAGGCTGGGGGTGGAGAGGCACAGGAGAGCGCGTGGGAGAGCGGCTGGAAGCAGACACAGGAGGCGTACGCAGCTGGCCTGCAGTGCTGGAAGCCGCGTGGTTGGCGGTGGTTCGGATCCCTGGCCTGACTGAGCAGAGACACCCAGGGGGTGCGTGTGTGTAACCAGGATCCTGATGGGCTGGAGGGAGGGGAATACAGTGAGACCAGACCCTGGCCGCTTCAATCTTTTGAGCATGTGCGTACACATTTTCTTACAAATACATTTTTTAAAAGAGAATAATTTACTTAATTTATTCATTCATTTTGATTTGACCAGAGAGAGAGAGAGAAAGGGAAAGTGAGAAAGCAAGTTACTGACCAGCAGTTGGCAAAATGGCTATGTCACTGGATTCTCATGTAGTCGACTGCAGTTCAAGACCCAGACCCAGTGGCTTAAACTCACACCGGGCATGTGTGTGTGCGTGCCCAAGATCATTTTTTAAAGAATTATTTGTTTAACTTAATTTATTCATTCATTTGTTTGAATTTGACCAGAGAGAGACAGAGAGAAAGAGAGAGAGAGAGAGAGAAAGAGAGAGAGAGAGAGAGAGAGAGAGCGAGAGAGAGAGGAAGTGAGAAAGTAAACCACGGGATTCAGGACTTGAACCATGGGGGCTATTGTGGGAGTGTCCAGAGCTTTAACCACCATGCCACCTGCTGGCCCCTACAAATAAAATTTTAAAAGCCAACCAGCAAATAAACTGGTTGCTAATTAAAGACGGGGGAGGAGCAGGTGGTGGTACGGCGTGACGCAGCGGGGCCCACGTGGGAAGGTCCTGGGTTGGGCTCGCTTCCCACGACTGCTCTGAGCACGCGGGGTAGGCACGCCTGTGTGTGTGCGCGACGTGGCTGGCTGAGATCAGGGCAGGTTGTGGCATGAAGACCCTGCTGGGGGTTCCTGTATTTCTGTCTCGCTCGAAATACATGAATAAATATAGAAATAAATGAATAAACTTAAAAAAAATAAAAAGCCTTACTGTGCAGTGGAATGACTGATGTTAGCCTGTGTGTTGGTAGAGAAGCCAGAGTCGTGGTTGGAATGCCCAGTCTGCTTAGCCGGAGACATGCCAGGCCACGCACGTGTGCCCTGGAGCCGATCGGCCAGAGGACTGGAGGAAGGGACAGGGGCGTGAGGAGGGTGGTCACTCGCACATGTGTGCATATGCTCTTTTCATGAATAAAACATAAGCTAGGGACCAGCAGTTAGCGTAACGGCTACGTCACTCAACTACCAGGTAGTTGACCATAGTTCGAGTCCCGGACCCGGTGGCTTAAAACTCATGCCGGGCACGTATGCACACGTGCCCAAGATCCTGAGAGGAGAATGGAGGAGAAGGGATCGTGGCGTGGCCATCCCCCTGGGATGGGGAGGGAGGGATGGTTTCTCGCTTTCTGTCTGTCTCTCTCTGTCTGTCTGGCGAGCGCATGCGCCCTATAGCAATAAACCTCTCCACACACAAAATAAATAAACAAACAAACAAACAAACAAATAAATAAATAAAACATAAGCTAAAAAGAAAAGACACAGAAGGGCAAGCAGGCGGCTGGTGGTCAAGGTGCCGGACTTCCTCATGGCTGACGGGTCTGGGTCGCAGGCCCAGGGCTTGCTTTCTCATTCTCTCTCTCCCTTTCTTTTTCTCTTTCTCTCTCTGGTGAGCACATGTGCCGCATAGCAAATTTAAAAAAATGATAATAAAGGGGCCAGCAGGTGGCGTGATGGTTGGGGCACTGGACTCCCACATGGCCAATGGCAGTTCAAATCCTGACCCTCTCTCTCTGTCTCTCTCTGGTGACTACACGTGCCCTAGAGAAAATTAAAATAATAATAATTTTTTTTGGAGAGGTTTTCGGTATAGGGCACGTGCGCTCGCCAGACAGACGAGAGAGACAGAGAGACAGAAAGCGAGAAATCATCCCCTGAGGGGATGGCCATGCTGCAATCCCTTCTCCTCGGTTCTCCTCTCGGATCTTGGGCACGCACGCACACGCGCTCAGCGTGAGTTTAAGCCACCGGGTCCGGGACGCGAACTGTGGTTGACTACATGGGAGTCCAGCGACATAGCCATTACGCTAACTGCTGGTCCCCCAATAAGATAATTATTTTAAAAATCATAATAAACACAAATAGTTCTTTTTTGGGGGAGAGATTTTTGCTATAGGGTGCGTGCGCTCACCAGACAGACAAGACAGAGAGAGACATAGAGACAGAAAGCGAGAAATCATCCCCCAGGGAGGATGGCCACGCTGCAATCCCTTCTCCTCCATTCTCCTCTCAGGATCTTGGGCATGCACTCACACGCGC